CTGGCACTACAGTTATGTGCCATCACACTCTGCTAATTTTTCTTTTTTTTGAGACAGAGTCTTGGTTTGTCGCCAGGCGCCAGGCTGGAGTACAATGGTGCGATCTTGGCTTACTGCAGTCTCTCCCTCCCGGGTAGCTGGAACTACAGGCACACGCCACCACGCCCAGCTAATTTTTGTATTTTTTTTAGTGGAGATGGGGTTTCACCATGTTGGCCAGGATGGTCTTGATCTCTTGACCTTGTGATCTGCCCACCTTGGCCTCCCAAAGTGCTGGGATTATAGGTGTGAGCCACCGTGCCCAGTCTTTTTTTTTTTTTGGGGGGGGGGGGCTTGCTCTAAAATCCAGGTTGGAGTGCTGTGGCACGATCTCGGCTCACTGCAACCTCTACCTCCTGATTCAAGCAATTCTCCTGCCTCAGTCCTGACCTGAGTAGCTGGGACTCCAGGTACATACCACTATGCCTGGCTAACTTTTGTATTTTTAGTAGAGATGTGGTTTCACCATGTTGGCCAGGCTGGTCTTGAACTCCTGGTCTAAAATGGTTCTCCCGTCTCAGCCTCCCAAAGTGATGGGATTACAGGCATGATCCATTGCACCCAGCCTAAATTTTTAATTAATTTCAAAATTTTTATTTTTTCTTTTTCTTTTCTTTTTTTAATTTTTAAATTAAAATTTTATATTTTCAATAGCCACATTTCAAGTGCTCAGCAGTCTCATGCTACTAATGGTTATCATATTGGTACAACACAGCTATAGAACATTCCCACCATTGCAGAAAATAATTGGAAAGCACTGTTTGAGATACAAAGAGCCACTTACCACCCCTTCAGTTTTTCATTTTAGTTACATAATTTACACACAGGTACATTCTCCATTCTCATCTTTTTTCTCTCTCTCTCTCTTTTTTTCCTCCATTCTCTTCTTAAACCTTTTTTTTTTTTTTTCTTTTTTTTGAGACGGAGTCTTGCTCTGTCACCCAGGGTGGAGTGCAGTGGTGTGATCTCGGCTCACTGCAACCTCCGCCTCCCGGGTTCAAGCAATTCTCCTGCCTCAGCCTTCCAAGTAGCTGGGACTACAGGCATACGCCACCATGCCCAGCTGATTTTTGTATTTTTAGTAGAGATGGAGTTTCACTATGTTGGCCAGGCTTGTCTTGAACTCCTGACCTCAGGTGATTCTCTACCTTGTTCTTGAGTTTTTGGAGAGTAAACCACAGCATGAATGAACTTTAGGTTATTCAACTATTGCCTTCATGATGAACATGTGTTTCCAGTTCTCCCTGTTGCAAACAGTACTATATGCAAACATCCTTGTACCTCTTTCTGCATTTGCACTCATTTGTCCAGGGTAAATACCAAAAAGTAGAATTGCTAGGTCACAAAGTCATATGGTAACACCCCTGGGGCTTGGCACACCCTGAAGCTCCCGCCTAGAATGCCTGTCCACATGACTAATTCCTACTCATCAAGACCAATCAGTGTTATGTCCTGTGAAAGATTATCCCTTCTGCCTGAATACTTACTATCTGCATTGCATCATTACTGTACACTTGGGGCTCTGCCTTTTGTTTTTGAGACGGAGTCTCACTGTGTTGCCCAGCCTGGAGTGCAATGGTGTGATCTCCACTCACTGCAACCTCCGCCTCCCAGGTTCAAGAGATTCTCCTGCCTCAGCCTCCTGAGTAGCTGGGACTACAGGCACCTGCCACTGCGCCCAGCTGATTTTTTCTATTTTTAGTAGAGACGAGGTTTCACCGTGTTAGCCAGGATGGTCTTGATTTCCTGACCCCGTGATCTGCCTGCCTTGGCCTCCCAAAGTGTTGGGATTACCGGTGTGAGCCACTGTGCCAGCCGGGGCTCTGCCTTATTTAACTTTGTATCCCCAACATTCCTAGCATAGGGCTTAGCATGGAGTAAAAATTCAAATGTTTTCTTGGCTGGATGAATGAATGCATAAATAAACAAATGAAGGCACAGTGGTTAGGACATTCCAGAAACTCAAGGTGAGTCCGTGAGGGGCATGGACCAATCTGCCATTGGTACACTGAGCCAAATGCCTTGCTAGATTTGTCTTTTTTTTTTTTTTTGAGACAAAAAGTCTCCCTCGTCTGGGCTGAAGTGCAGTGGCATGATCCAGCTCACTGCAACCTCAGCCTCTCCAGTTCAAGCAATTCTCCTGTCTCAGTCTCACAAGTAGTTGGAACTACAGACACCCGCCACTATGCCAGCTAATTTTTTTGTGTGTTTTTAGTAGAGATGGGGTTTCCCCATATTGGTCGGGCTGGTCTTGAACTCCTGACTTCAGGTGATCCACCTGCCTCTGCCTCCCAAAGTGCTGGGATTACAGGTGTGAGCCACCACACCCAGCCTTAGATTTCTGTCTTTATGCAGCCCTCTATCCATGGACATCTCTTGCACTCAGGGTTGGGGACAGCAAGGATGGAGCAGTATGGATGTTAAGGGCTCTGGCTGTAGAGCACAGAATTGGAGCCCTGGGGGCATCATTAGCTTGGAGCTGGGTTTCCAAGGGCGTGTCTGTGTACTTTCACCTTAGAACCCTATGCTCTGGGTTTTATTTTGTTTTTTTCCCCTACAGTACCTTAGGGGCAGTTAAGATCAGCTGCAACATTTCTGCTTTCCGCTCCCAGACTTGAGCCCAAGGCAAGCCAGATGTTTTCCACTCCACATCGCTTCTCCTTGTGGTCTGATGAACAGCCCTATCTTCTGAGTCTCTCTATGGCCTGGCTTTCCCACATCCCACAGCCTGGCTGCCAACTTTATTTTTAATGAGGCTTTAATAGGTAGTTCCTGTAATTAATTTCAATCTTGTGTTTTCACACTCCAGTCTAGGTGCCTAAAGGCCTTCAGGCGCTAGTGGGATGTTAAGTGATTTTAAAGAATAAAAAACACTGTGGCTGTCATTTGCCATTTTCCCAGCTCCTATGATCTGCAGTTGTTGTTAAAATCATTAATTAGCTGGGGCTCATGGCTCAGTGGAAGGTCAGCCGGGTCACCTGTCATGTTTTACAGAAGTAGAGAGATAAGGAGGGGGGGACTTCTCCAAGCCCTAAGCGAGAGTGGGTGTTTAAACTGGTTTCAGAAACCACATCCCAGGTTTCAGATTCACTATTCAGGTATGATTTGCCAAACACGGCCAGAATCCTCAGGCCAAAGGTGGCGCGCCTTGGGTGCCCCACAGGTGTCTTGCGGAGGCAGCTTTACCCTCCCATTAGCACTGCCCAGCAAGTGAGCCCTCACCGGTAAAATTACCCCCATTCATTTTCTCCAAGCCCCTTTTCCATTTTGTGAGCGGATTCAACTGCGTAAAGAACGCGACAGTGATTCCTCCTGGATTTAGAAACAACGTAATTTTGCTATTTTTAAAGCTGCCGTTTAAAACTCCGCGCGCACTCACACACTCCTCAGGGAGCTGGGAGTGGGAGGAATTGGACGAGCGCAGCGAGTCGCCTCGGCTTCCCAGGGCGCAGCGCCGCGTCCCTGGGGGCGCACTTCTCGGAGAGCGCCGGGGATCTCCGACCCGCGGCCGGGACCCTCTGCATCCCGGGCGTCCGACCCCGTTGGCCCGCGCTCCCCCTAGTCTCCCAGGCTCGGGGGCACTGCCGCTGTGTCACCGGGCCCAGGAGAGAGCGGGAGGGGCGGAGAGGCAGAGCAGGTGGAGATTAGGTCAGCTTCGGAACATTCTTGGACCGCTCCAGTGGATATAAATAACAGACGGGCTGGCTCTGCAAAATATCCCCCTCAGGGGGAAGCGGGGAGAGGGGAGAGGGAAGGAATTTATTTAGCGTGGGGTGGCATCGTGGCGATCTGGAAAAATCTACTAGACTGATAAAGGCGGTGAAGGGGCGAAGGGATTTAAAAATGAATCGCGGTGCAAAATCTGGAAATAAGAACTCGGAGGGGGAGGAGCTTACATCTTTTTGTCCCACTCCCACTGCGTGTTCGTCTCAGGCCTTAGAAAGCGCCTCAGATTAGCAGGGGAACTGTGGAAGGGTAGGGCAGGGCTTTGGAGTCCCGGCCCTGCCGGGACTAGAGGGAGATCTTGGGCACGCCGCTGAAAAGCCCCCGAGCCTCAGTTTTTGCATCTGTATAATGGGAATCCCAGTGCTTATAAGGGGTGATTGTGAGCCTCGCTTGAGCCAATTTCTAAGCAAGCTATGCTCAGCCAAAAATGTAAGGCAGTGTACCCCGGCCCTGCTCCAGGGCTGCCCATGCCGGCCCGGTCCCTTCTTGCTCGTTCCGGTCTCCCAGGTTCTGCAATGGTCGGGGAGGGGCAAAGCCGAAATCTGGCTCCCTGAGGCCCAGGGGCGCAACCCTGGGAAGCCTGCCCAGGCGCTCTACACACGGGAGTGGAGAACTCCCGGCTCGCGACCCAAGAGCCGCTGGTCGATGCGCTGCCTGCCGCCCCGCAGCCCCGCCGCGTGGGGTAGAGGCAGCGGTGGCCAGGAGAGGGCGGGGCCGGGGGCCGGGGGCCGGGCTTCCCGGGGGAGGGCCCGGCGCGCTCCGGGAGGCGGCCGCGCGGGCCCGGGAGCAGCAGGACTCGGGCTGGAGCGTGGCCGGACCCCCGCCCGCCGAGGTGCCCCAGGAGGACGCGGTGAGTGCCCTGGAGGGGACGCGCGGGGACGCGGCGGCGGGTGCCGTGGCTCAAGCCCGCCCTCTCCTGCCCCGGCTCCTGAAGTTTGCAGTGGAGCCGACTCCAGCCCCAGGAGCCCCTGGCCACCCCGCTCTGCGTGCCGACGGGAAGGGCCGCAGCCGCGCCGAGGGGCCGTCCTATCTGCTGCGCCGCGGGCTCCGCAATTCTGCAGGCCGCCCGGGGGAGGGGGTGCCAGCGCTGGAGCTGAGCCATCTCCAGGGCCCCTCGAGGGCCCCATCCGCCCGCCTCGCGCCCGTCCCGGGGCCCGAGAGGGGCCTCGCTCCCTGGCGACCCCTCGCGCTCTGCAGCAAGCACGGATTCCTGGGTCCTCTGCCCGGGGCTACCAACTGGAGTCCACGGCGAGGCCGGCCCAGGCAGGGGGCGTCCCCTCCCCGTGGCGATGACGGTGGCCCCACCCCCGCCAAGACCAAGTTCAACAAGTTTGGCCAAGAAGTCCTACAGTTTAGGTGGCTAGGCCTGGCCCTGCCGCTCCGCGTGGCTCCACCGGCTCAGAGTTCTGCAGCTCCGGGCGGCAAGGGGTTCTGTCGAGGGGCGCGGTCCATAAGGGTTGAGGCCAGAGGCGCGCAGCCCCTGGGCTCCGAGCACCGGAGTGAAGGCTGGGGTTCGGAGTGCGTCATCAGGGAGCAGGCACCCCGGCCGGCAGGTCGGGTTTCCAAAAGTGCCCCTTTGTTATGCCCCTCCCTGGCCCTGCCTCCTCCCCCTTTCGCTGCGCCACCCCCTCCCCCAGCCTCCTGACCTCCAGCCTGGCTCTGGCTACCGATTCCAGCCCCTCTAGCCTCGCTGCCCCTCTCCGGACCAGCCGACTGCCTCTCCCCGCTATGTCCTCAAATCCTAGGGCTGCGGGCCGACGCGGGCTGGTGGGGGGCGACTCCGGGGGAAGAAGCCCTTGGGCGCAGCCTGTGACTCAGGACGCAGGGATGGGCGGGGCGGGATGGCTGAGCTCCCTCCCAAGGGCAAGCCACTAGCTTCTAGAAGGGGTCGGGGCTGGTCTGGGTCGGGTACCTTCAGGCCTCAGGTAGGGAGAGTGGGTCTTCCCTGAATCAGGGACTCCTACCTTGGCCCGTGCAGCTGCAAGGAGACCCTGCCAGGCCCAGGAAGACCTCTCAGACTGTAGGTGCTGGCTCCCGGGACTCGGAAGATTGCATTACCTACTTTCTGAGCTCTGGCCTTTGATGGGGTGTGTTCTGGGGACTGATTTGGGTCTCTGCTGAGCTCAGGAGGCACAGGGTGCGAACCTCCTCAACAGGGGCTAAAGTGCAAGGCTCCCCCCAACACACACAGTGAGGTCAGGCTGGGGCTGTGGAGCCTGGCTGCACCCGGGGCTTGGGCCTGTGTTTGCTCTTGGAGGCCGGAGGGAGCTGTGCCAGCCTGGTACACACAGCTTGCTCTGTTCTGGGGCCAGAGAGAGGGAAGGGGTGGGGGGCAGCTCTCTGGGGAGCAGGGAGCTCGGAGGCTGGAGCAGGCAGGGGGCCCCAGGCCCCTGAGGCTGGACTGGGATGGCTCCAGAACCCTGAAATTCATGACTGCAGCTCTCTTTCTTGCCATCGCCCTGTCAGGTCCTCTCTGGGCCGGCAGGACAGACTCCAGGGGGAACCAAGTGTGGGGCCCCTGGTGGGCACCTTCATTGCCTGGGTCTCTGCGGAGCACCTAGCTCTGCCTCCTGGTAGCGTGGGGGGAAGCTCGCCTGCACCGAGCGTTCCCACAGCTGCTGAAGCCTGCAGCTTTCCTGGGCTCCAGGTGGATGCTTGTTTTCTCACTTAATTATTGCTGATTCCAGCGAGAGGGGACACACAAATCAGAATCCCAGAAGCCTCTGTCCGTGAGTGGAGACAGACACTGTCCTGTCAGCCACAACCCATGGGTTATACGCCCCGACTGAGGGGTCACCTGGGGCTATGGGAGCAAGGATAAAGGAACAGGGAAAGTGGCTGAGAAGATGTCTCAATTGGAGGTCTGAAGGAGCAGAGGTTCATGAGTTTGGAGGAAGGGCTGTGACAGAACCCTGCTTTGGGGACAGAGGTCACACACTGTCCTCCTGGGTCTGGCTGTGTCCCTTGGGCCTGCTCAGAAAGGAAGCGATTTCCTTGTAGGGTCTGTGAGTCAATCCATGCTGGGAACAGCTGAGACCTTGCCCAAAGGCAGGAGGAGAGCAGCCACATGCCACTGTGTCCTCGAGTCTCTGGGGTGGTGGCTCTGGGGTTGGAATTGGCCTCCCCTCCTCTGTGATTCTGGGGAAGTTTTTTTTTTTTTTTTTTTTTTTTGAACAGTCTCACTCTGTTGCCCAGGCAGTGGCACAATCTCAGCTCACTGCAATCTCTGCCTCCCAGGTTCAAGTGATACTTCTGCCTTAGTCTCCCAAATATCTGGGACTACAGGTGACTGCCACCATGCCTGGCTAGTTTTTATGTTTTTTAGTAGAGACAGGGTTTCTCCATGTTGGCCAGGATGGTCTTGAACTCCTGACCTCAAGTGATCCACCCACCTCAGCCTCCCAAAATGCTGGGATTACAGGCATAAGCCATTGCACCCAGACTGGGGAACTTTTTTTTTTTTTTTTTTTTTTTTT